AATAAAGAGCTATAGAAACAGTTCAACACTTTCAGAAGGAAAGATTTATTACTAAAAGGTCAATCGGGCGCAATAAAAATATTTACAGAAAAAAAAGATGTAACCAATATATATATATATAAATATACAGAAAACAACAGCACAGCAAAGGGGTAACAGAAAGGAGGTTAAAGGGTTAAAGTACTTGCCAAAGTCCTGGGTTAGTAGATCAAGTTTCAGAGCGAAAGGGCTGTCTCCCAAGCTGGTTCTGATGTTAAATGGGAGAATTCTTCAACTTAACTTCTCTTAGGCCTGACAACCCATTTTGTAGTTCCCCGACAGGGGGTGTCTCTAAAGTCTAGGACCAATACCCCGTTTAGGGAGGGATCGTCTTGGCGAGGACCTAAACTAGAGCCAAAATCTCTTATAGTTCATATTTTGGCTCATAACTTTCCCTATGCACAAGTGACATTCCACCCACGGGTAGATTATTATGCAGATGCCTCTGAGGAGCAGGTAGATATGAAATATGAAATACATATTTGAAGGGTTCAAGAGATGTAATTTTCTGCTTTCCTATGTATTCCAGTCAGGGAGCGTGACCTACCAAACTGTTTGCCTCCTCGTGGCCAATCTGAAGATATACCTGGTTTTTATGTAAGTTTCTCATATTCCAAGATATGAGACATAGGGGAAAAATGGATTTTAAAAGTGTTATCTGGTTTCCTGCTTCTCTGGAATGCCTTGAACTCCTGGGAAGGCTTGCATTATCTCTTACGAGGTGCTATATGGCACAGCTCTCGCAGACAACCAGGCACCTCGCTCAGAGAGGTGTTTTATAGCTCTGGGCTCTGTCCTGCCTGTGACACTGCCAACACACAACCAGATGTCACTGTGGCTGAACAGAGAGGAAGGGGGGAGAATGAGGGGACAAAATGGAGATTTCTGTAACAAAATGGAGGGCTGCGTCTTTCACTGTGTGTGTACACTTGTTACAATCCCTGCACCATGGTGTGAACAAGCCTTTATGGTGCTCAGTCTCATAGTGCTGCAGCTTCTGAGGGAGAAAGGGGATAATATCAGTGAGAAAAGAGAAGACACTATCTTTGTGAGTTTAACTCTTCTGTGTCTCCCTGGCAGCAGAGTTTGTCCTGTCACCTCTCCTACTTTTGTTTTCTCCTTCCCTAATCTGTGTTCCATCTGTGCAGTCAATGTCATTCCTGTTGCTTTCTTCCCTCTTCAGCAACAATAAATCTTAAAGCCGTCAGCTGATTGGCCTTTAGTGGCTCTAATTTTAGGCACAGTGCCAAGAATATAGAGTAACTGATCATGTGCAGAGCAGGGTGAGACAGCGCATTACTAGATTACAAACAGTATAGGCACTTTGGAAGTGTTATAATGTTATACCTGCAAAAGGGGTCAGCATAAAGTGATCTACCAGGATGTAATATTCTGGCTAATGTTCCACTTTAAGGAGTGGTTCCCACCTGGCTTTGGCCTTAGTAAACCATATAATGCTTTCAAAAGGGGTCAGCATAAAGTGATCTACCAGGACGTAATATTCTGGCTAATGTTCCACTTTAAGGAATGGTTCCCACCTGGTTTTGGCCTTAGTAGACACATAGGGGTTTATTTACTAAAGCTGGAGAGTCCAAAATCAGACTCCCTTCTGCATAGAAACCAATCAGCTTCTAACCTCAGCTTGTTCAATGAAGCTTTGGCAATGAAACCTGGAAGCTGATTGGTTTCTATGCAGAAGGGAGTCTGATTTTGGACTCTCCAGCTTTAGTAAATAAACCCCATAGAGTGCTTTCAAAAGGTGCCAGCATAAAGTGATCTACCAGGACGTAGATCTACCAAGACGTAATTTTCTGGCTAATGTTCCATTTTATGGAGTGGTTCCCACCTGGCTTTGGCCTTAGTAGACCATAGAGTGCCTTCCTCTGTCTGGAGCCTTGCACCCCAGAGAGCTCAGGGATTGAGGCTCTTCCTCTTTGGAGGTTGGCCAATTACTGTACCCTCATACACTTTTTTGTGGTCTGCGATTTTACAATTCACTTTTTTGGTCACTGGGGTTGACTTAGTACCACACTGCGGAGCTCTGAAAAAAAAAAAAAAAGAAGCAGTATGGCTGCCAAATGTGACTCATTCCAATGAATAGGGCGGTGCTGCAACCATCCTGTACACGCAACACTCAAAGCAGTGGCACTGTATTTACTGGGTTAAAACCTCGCCACCTCTGCAGATCTCTTTGTAGAAAGTCTGTAAACTAAGCCATATTGAAACCAGAGCCTCAGCATGGCAGCCAGGCAATAAGTATTTGCAGATTGAAGTATAACTTAAGGCAAAACTTTTTTTTAATTTTAGTTTTGGACAGGGTGGAGATGGATAAGAACACCCATTAGATAGTTATTGTTGTCTGTGCCCCCATTAGAAAGATTCCCCTTCTCTATTTTCCTGTTTACCATTATCATTGAAAGTAAAGAAAACCTCACATTTTGGGTTTTTCCCAGAAAAGTAATAGAGGGAAATTTTCTAATAGGTCGTCCCCACGGAATTCCCTTAAAAGAGAAGTATGGGGTTTTGTATTGTTTTTTTTAAATCATACTTACCTAGGTGTGCAGCATTGGTCTGTCCCTGCATCTGTCCCCCACTGACTCTAAGGTGAGAACTTAGCGATTACATGACCACTGATCACTGAGTTCTCACAGCTGTTCTGAGCAGAGAGTGGTGACTGTCAGTCACTGCTGTTTACTCTGCACCCCTTCCCTGATGCTCGCCAGGTGCCGCTCCAGACTCTGGGGTGGATCCTGACTTTACCGGGATATTTTCCCAGGCAGGACTGGCTGTGTGATGTCAGTCGACAGCAGCCTTCAGCACTACAGGGAAGCAGGGCTGCGCAAAATCACTCATATATACGTGATTTGCATTTTCGGGTAGGGGCGCCACCCTACCCATACTGCTATTGTCGGCTAGGGATGTAAATCGCGGGGTCCTGGCCGGCACTCGGCGATTGTTGGGTAAAGCTGACAGGGTAGAGACCTGCACATAAACAACTCAAATCTCTCTCCTCTCAGCAAGGACATGCTGCTTTGTATTTCTCTGCACAGCAGAATAAAGTAGAACATGCTGCATTTTTCCTGCACTGGATTGTACTGGAACACAGTAAAATGCATCAAAAACTCATCAAAATTTTTTTTTTTCATTTTGGATAGGGTGGAGATGGATTAGAACACCCAATAGATACTTATTAGACAGGATTTATATAGCGCCAACAGTTTGCTCAGCGCTTTACAATATAATGAGAGATAATACAGCAACAATACAGTTCAATACAAGAGGGATAGGAGGGCCCTGCTCCTTGGAGCTTACAATCTACTTATTTCTGTCTGTGCCTTCGTGAGGGGGGTTCCTCCCCTCTATTTGTCCAGTTTACCATTATCATTGAAAGTGAAAGTAAAGAAAACCTCAAAGTCTCTCCTGACAGCAAGGACATGCTGCTTTGTATTTCTCTGGGCACAGCAGAGAAACACAAAGCAGCATGTCTTCGTAGTAACACACACACAGCACACATTTAACCCTTTGATCACCCCAGATGTTAACCCCTTCCTGCCCAGTGTCATTAGTACAGTGTCAGTGCTTTTTATTAGCACTGATAACTGTACTAGTGTCATTGGGATGTCAGTGGCAGTTAGTCAGTGTAAGAATGCCAGCCGTAGACCTGCAATAAGTCACTGATCACCGCCATTACTAGTTTAAGAAAAAAAATTCCAGTATCTATACTGCCATTTGTAAACGCTATAACTTTCACATAAACAAATTTACACGTATTGGGATTTGTTTTTTTTAGCAAAGTCATGTAGCAGAATACATTTGTTCCTAAATTTATGAATTAGATTTTTTACAATTCTTCTATTGGATATGTTTTTTTAGTAAAAAGTCGAAAATATTGTTTTTTTTTTCTCCAAAATTGACAGTCCTTTTTTTTTTTGCTTATAGCGCAAAAAAATAAAAAAAACAGAGGTGATCAAATATCACCAAAAGGAAGCTCTATTTGTGGGGAAAAATGACATAAAATTTATGTACGACGTTGCATGACCGCACAATTGTCAAAGTAACGCAGCGCCGTATCGCAAAAAATGGCCTGGTCAGGAAGGGGGGGGGGGGGGGGGGGGGGGTAAATCTTCTGGAGGGAAAGTGGTTAATATGTGGAGATTTTCTTTCAATTCCTCCTTTTGGAAAGAGGGAGGGTTATAACCTCTGTCCGTCTATTTTTTTTTTGCCATCTCTGTCCTATTGTGGAGATTTATCTTCACTTCCTGTCTCATAGCAGAACTATGAGACAGGAAGTGAAGGTAAATCTCCACAATAGGACACAGATGGCAAACAAATAGACGGACAGAGGTTATAACTCTCCTTCTTTCCGAAATAAAAAAGAAGCCTATAGTTCAGCTTTCAGTCAGCAATGGCAGTCTTCATAGTTCTTCCAGAAAAAGGGTTATTATTATTATTATTACTACGAGTTTATATAGCGCCAAAGGGTTTGCTCAGCGCTGTACAATAGGGGGGACAATACATGGCACAGTACAACAACAACAAACAATGTACGAGGGGTAAGAGGGCCCTACTCTTCCTTGAAGGTCCAGCTCTCTTTACCCTCCCTCCTGAAACAGAGCAGCCGAGTACGGTGTGCAGTGTGTGAGATGAGAGTGTGCCCCCAGCATGTCACAGTACAGTACACAGGCTGCGCTGTCCAGCACTGAGGCGCTTCCTCCGCACGGTGCGCTCTGCACAAGGAACGCCTAGCATCAGGTCCGTGTTTCCAGCAGGACGGATTTAAACCTTACATCCCGCGGGCTTCCGGTCTTGGTGCGGGCGCTGGAGCGGGATGGAGCGGCGCTGAGTGGTAGCTCCGAGGCGGGGAGAAGCCTGCACAGAGAGCTGTGTGGGGGGGGGGACACAGCCCCGCGGCTCAATGGGCGGCCGGAGGTGACACCCTGCTCTGGGCACACCGCGGGACAATGAAGCTCCTGAAACCCGCCTGGGTTAACCACAATGGTGAGGGGAGGAGCGGGCGGGAGAGAGAGAGAGAGTGTGTGGCCCCAAGGGGCCCCTGAAGTTGGAAGGGATGTGGGGAGAAATTGTTGCACTGGTACTGCTGATTGATTGCAATCCTGAGATTTTCCGGAGTGAGAGAGTTCCTTTAATTCCTACCTGTACAGCGGTGAGGGCGAGGCATGGAGGGGGGCAGGCTCTGACAGGAAGGGGTGCAATCAGCACCTCACACACTTCACTTCTAGTACTGTAGGTGCTCCCACTAGTTCTTTGTTCTTTCTGCAGTGTCAGAGCATCAAAAGCAATTTAACATGGAGCCCCATGGTACATCTGTCACCTGAGCATCTTAGTGACACCACATGATCCCAGGAGACACCATTGTGCAGCCGGAGGGATGCATTCACCTGCAGACCATGATGCAAGGCTGTCACTGCAGATCTGTGCAGCCAGCAACACCTGTCCATTTAAAAGCAGACCTTCACTCCTAAAAAAGCACTTGGCATCACTGCAACCCTCCTCTTCACTGCAGTCTAAAAGTTGATTTGTGGTTTGTTTTCTTTTAGTTTTTTCACTCCATCCTGCCATCTTCCTTCATTCTTGCGTAGGCAAGAATATGATGGATTCTGCCCCAGACGATTCTTGGGATACCTACCTCAGATATCCCAGGAAACATCAGCTTGCGTAGGCAATAATATGATGGATTCTGCCCCAGACGATTCTTGGGATACCTACCTCAGATATCCCAGGAAACAACAGCTTGCGTAGGCAAGAATATGATGGATTCTGCCCCAGACGATTCTTGGGATACCTACCTCAGATATCCCAGGAAAAACATCAGCTTGCGTAGGCAATAATATGATGGATTCTGCCCCAGACGATTCTTGGGATACCTACCTCAGATATCCCAGGAAACAACAGCTTGCGTAGGCAAGAATATGATGGATTCTGCCCCAGACGATTCTTGGGATACCTACCTCACATATCCCAGAAAACATTAGCTTGCCTAGGCAACAATATGATGGGTTCTGCTCCAGACGATTCTTGGGATACCTACCTCACATATCCCAGGAAACATCAGCTTGCTTAGGCAAGAATATGATGGATTCTGCCCCAGACGATTCTTGGGATACCTACCTCACATATCCCAGGAAACAGCTTGCCTAGGCAATAATATGATGGATTCTGCCCCAGACGATTCTTGGGATACCTACCTCACATATCCCAGGAAACAACAGCTTGCGTAGGCAAGAATATGATGGATTCTGCCCCAGACGATTCTTGGGATACCTACCTCACATATCCCAGAAAACATTAGCTTGCCTAGGCAACAATATGATGGGTTCTGTTCCAGACGATTCTTGGGATACCTACCTCACATATCCCAGGAAACATCAGCTTGCTTAGGCAAGAATATGATGGATTCTGCCCCAGACGATTCTTGGGATACCTACCTCACATATCCCAGGAAACAGCTTGCCTAGGCAATAATATGATGGATTCTGCCCCAGACGATTCTTGGGATACCTACCTCAGATATCCCAGGAAACATCAGCTTGCGTAGGCAAGAATATGATGGATTCTGCCCCAGACGATTCTTGGGATAGCTACCTCACATATCCCAGGAAACATCAGCTTGCTTAGGCAAGAATATGATGGATTCTGCCCCAGACGATTCTTGGGATACCTACCTCACATATCCCAGGAAACATCAGCTTGCCTAGGCAAGAATATGATGGATTCTGCCCCAGACGATTCTTGGGCTACCTACCTCAGATATTCCAGGAAACATCAGCTTCCTCACTGTAGCAGGATCAGCGCATACCTAGTGATTCCTCATCAAGGGGCCGGCTGCAAGAAGGGCCAGGTCACAGCACATGAGATACAGTGTTTGTGTTTTTTTTTCTGTGCATCAAAACACATGGAAAGTAGGTTATATGGTTTTCAATGGCATAGTTCACACACCAGTGCATTCCAGAAAAAAAAAGCACATGCTGCATTTTTCCTGCACTGGATTGTATTGGAACACAGTAACACGCATCAAAAACTCATCGGAACTCGAAAAAATGCATCTGGAACGCATCTGAAAATGCAACAGCCATGCACCAGAACAAGCAGGGTTGTGTGAACCGGCCTCAACCCTGAGGAGACAGCCGTCTGCTGATGATATAAGGAAAGAAGATGGCGGCGTGGGAGCAGCATAGGAGATGCAAGTGGCAGCAGAGTGTTGGATTACAGCAGGACAGCGCTGGACTGGGTTTGTGAGTATGTTTATTGTGTATGACCCCGGTGATAAAGGTAAGGACCCATTCATGCTTGTACCGTCTGTAGCCATTTTTGGGGCACTTTGTATGGGTATTTGCACATATTTCAGGGGTTGAGTGGGGTTTTTTTTTTTTTTTTTTTTTAGTCACAGGATAGCTAGATGTTAGGCAAAAAAAGCCTGCATTATGTCCATTTCTCTTGAATTCCTTTGAGGCTGAAAATTGCTACTCTGCCCCAAAAAGAAGCTCATGTACTTATTTGTGTGACAAGCTTCAAGCAACACTACTCTCAGGTGTGAACGGGCAACCTGAAATCCAAGTGCCAAGTGTTGAAATGCTTCTTGTGTAGCTACAAATCATGCTTCAGATCACTCTGGTGTGAATGAGACCTAAGAGGGCATCTAAAAAAAAAAAAAAAAATACATGGGGGGAAGTTGCTCTTTAAGTTGCAAATGAACATATGTCTTCTGCATATTTGATTTCTTATGCATTTGGGAGATTTTTTTTTCTTTTACACAGTGCTGTCATTTTTTTCGATTTTGTGTACATGTTATGTAAATAGCAATTATGCTACGAAGCCAATCAAATTTTCCTAATACACCCAAAGACAGACGATACAGCCCTAGCTTGCTTTTCTCTTCTCACCTGTGATTTCTTCCCAGTGCCTGTGTCGTAGTGAGCAGATGCAATGAGCAGCTCTATAGAGATGAATGGTAGCCCTACTCTATACATCTCTATGGAGCTTGTAGTCACATCTGCTCATGGCAGCACAGGTGCCCAGGGGAAAAAATGGATGTAAACACTGCCTTGCCTGGCACAGCAGAGAGTCAGCCAGTGTAGAGGGAAACATTGCTGTATCTGAGGTCTCTGTTTGGGTACAAACATGATGGATAGAATCAGGTTGTGGGAACCAGTACAAGGTTTTTAGAATAAAGAACACCTGTGCTTTAATACAGTGAACTAATATAATTGGGTTTTTGCATTGCCTATTTATTTACTATTTAAAAATATAAATGTGTTGAAATCAATTTAGCTTGTTTTTGTTTTCATCTTAGGGAAGCCAATCTTTTCAGTGGACATTCACCCTGATGGCACAAAGTTTGCTACTGGAGGACAAGGTGTGTGGAAAAAAAATATGTTTAATATATTTTCAATATTTCTCAATTTTTGTTATAGTAAAGCAAGTCTGTTTTTCGTAAATGCTCCTCAAGTACCACTGGCAGTTTTTTTTTTTTTTTTTTTTATACAAGTGCTTTGTAAAAGGAGAAAAACTGAACAACTTAAACCTATACTCTCCTTCAGTCCAGTGATGTGGCATCCTGGTGCTTCCCGCTGGCCACTGATATCCTTGAGCAACCGGCTTCCAGATATCATTCCCCAGCCACTTTCATTGGCTGGGTTGATATGATGTCACTTTCATGCACGCGTCGGAGTTCATACAGCTTCCGTATTGCCGAATGTCTACAGTGTGCTGCGCGTGAATAGCTCACTGTACAGGGGCAGGCAGGTAGGTAAATTTAATGTAGTAGAGACAAAGCATGTCACACTTTATATTTAAAATCCTACCTGTTTGCCCGTTTTCATTTTTTGCATAAAGTTCCACTTTGAATCATATTCAGAAACTCAGTGGATGAAGTGGAAGGCACAGAACCCCAATTATTTTTACACATTAGTGTCAAGCTTGTTGCACAGTTTTGCCTTTGTAGTTAGGCGGTGGCTTTGCTGGTTCGTCTTATTTTTAAAAAAAGAAAAAATAGTTTGTATTTAAGACATGTTTGTAGTTATCAATTAAAAAATATATTTTTGGCCCCAGATATAAATCGGTGGTATGGCCTTACTGCCCCTACTTTAAAAAAAAAACCGCACACACTGCATATTTGTAAAGCATGGTGGTGTGCTTTATAAATGTGAATTGGGCTTTGCTTACTTTTGGACTCTGAAGCAAGTAGAGCATTATTCAGTTGAATGGCATTTTGAAAACAAGAGCCTGGTCACATAACCTGTCAGTTGTGTGACTGGCCATTCCTCCAATCGGAGTTCTTTTTGCAGTTTTAAGCATAGAGAACTTCATGGGACGTTTGAGACGCCACAATTCAGCCTACGTTTTATGAATGGGATGTGAATTGTAGGCTGTAGTGTGCAATAACATTGTGGATTGTGTATACATAACCCCCTACATTTGTGTATTAATAACCCCTTTATCTAATACTTTTTTATCCTGACCACTTCTTTGACAAAAATAATAATTACACATTTTTTTGCAGGTAAAAAAATGTGCATTTATTATTTTTGTCTGAAGGAGCCTGGAAAGCATTGCACCAGTGATCAGTAGATCGCTGATGCCATGCAGGTCTCCTGCAGACCTGTCAGAATATCTGCTTGCCGTACAGGATATATAAGCAAGCAGATATTCTGACAGGAAGCTTCAATGAACTACCACGTCGCTCCACAGCACCGTGGTAGTTCATTGAAAACTACAAGCTGACAGCCGCTAAGGCTGCAGGGACTTGTCGGCACTCATTCACCGAACTCTATGAATGAGTGACATGGCCGTATGGGCGGAGCCCAAATCTTACAGATGGTACGAGGAGAAGTTTGCCCATACTGTCTGTCGGAGGGAGGGGGGGTGGCGGGTGGCACAGCTGCAGCTATGGGTACAAGTTACAGGTTCCACCCTAAAAATGGGTGGAACATGTAACATGTTCCCAAAGGTGAACTTATCCTTTAGGGCTGGTTTAATGTTACTAACCAAAGTTTTGCTGTTTAGTAAGCGTGTCACAGGTTTGGATTTTAATGTTGTCATTCTAGGGCAAGACTCTGGAAAAGTTGTCATATGGAATATGCCACCTGTTGTTAAGGAGGAAGATGAAAAGAACGAAAGTATTCCCAAGATGTTGTGCCAAATGGACAACCACCTAGGTACCAAATCACATCACTAAAGGTTGCACTGGGTTTACCAACTTTGCTTTTCAGGTAGCAGGAAACGTTAAAATTGTGCCAAGTGCTCCGGAGTTGGGGAAATGGCATTTGAACAGTGGATGCAGTGTATATTCATACTTGCATAAGAAATTGGATTAATCTTTGCAAATTTTCTTTCAGCTTGTGTGAACTGTGTGCGATGGTCTAACAATGGAGCATATTTAGCATCTGGAGGCGATGACAAGCTCATCATGGTTTGGAAGAAATCTGGGTGAGCAGAGGATTGCATCTTTAATTATAGGCCAATGGATAAAAAATTTGATCACCATGGAGCATTTGTTATAATCTGAATCCTCACCCTTATTTCTTTTCCTTCCTTGGATTTTTGGTGTTGAGGGCACCCTATTTCCTGCCTGAGCTGTTTAGGTAAACTACACATAAAGTCAGTACAGTACCCAGGTGCTGTTAGGTTTACTTGAAAACAATCTAAAAGCTTTTTTTCATTGATGGGCAATTCAGATTGTTGCGTTTTGGTAACACGTGAAGCTTATTGTGGTAGGTTGGGATGCCATTCATTTTGAATGGCATTCCAGTGCACTAATGTATGAGTGTACTGTAATGAGCTGAAAACGCATGACGCTGAAGTGCAGTACGTTTAATGCCCTTCATTTTGAACAGCACTACAGTGCACTTGGTGTTGTAGCTCACTGAACGTTTGGTGAGCTGCATTGAAAAAAATTAGTTAACGTCCATTAAAATATGCACTGCTGTGCATTGTCAGCCAATTAAAAACTGCCCAATTCAACAGACTGCCTTAATGAAATGTGCATTAATGTGTATGTGGTAATGCATCACTGCATAAGACTAGTTTGAATGGACCCTGATGGTTTCACCCTGCTTACTCAGCCCAGGGGTGATGTCTGTTATCAGTCCTGAGGTTTGGCAGTTAAAATGTTTAGCTGCCATGGTGTTGTAAGAGCCTGACACTTCTTCTCTGACAAAGAATACAGCCTAAACAAAAACACATAGAGCAATCGCTGTGAGGTAAGGCTATGCTTTAGGTAACCACACAAGATTGGAGATTCAGATTCTTACAAATGCTAATCTAACAAGTTATTTGAATGCATCTGTACTCTGACTGTAGACCTGACAAATTTAACTTCACAACCTATTAGTTCTCTTGATGGATATTGCATGTAAATTGGCTACATAATATAGTTTCTACAAAATATTTAATATGTAATCAGAGGATAGAAGGGAAATATGTGGCAGCTGTCTTTTTACCCCTTTACTATCGTCTAACACGTGCAGTGGCAAAAGGGTGGGGTTTAACACCCACATGCCACACGTGTTGCTGAGCCCCTGATGTTTATGTGCTGAGAGCTTGCTCCCAGCTCGAGACCAAGCTGTCAAAAACTGCTCTCAGTCCAGGGTAAAGATCAGTGGGACTGGATTCCAATCATGTGACTACTGTGACAATGATCACGATTGCCCATCCTTCCTGTTTCCCTGGATGTTTAGGACAGTTAAAGGGAGCCTGGGCAGGCATTTAAAGGGGTTAAAGTGGGTGTATGAATTTTATGTACATATGTTAACTGTACTGTTTATAATTTTAGGTACATTGGACCCAGTACTGTTTTTGGCTCCAGTAGTAAACTTGCGAATGTAGAGCAGTGGCGCTGCCTCACCATTCTCAGGAATCATTCTGGAGGTAAGTACAATGTAAATACAAAGTATTGTTAATTAAAATGTTCCAAAAAAAATTGACTTTTCTGGTAGAGGATGACATAATGACAATTTTAAACATAACTTGTACAATTCTACTAGATTATTTAAAACCAAAATGTTGATATACTTGTTTTTTTTTTTTCCACTACACTGCTACTACTAACTACATTGTAAACCTGTTTCTCAGATGTAATGGATGTGGCATGGTCTCCTCATGATGCCTGGTTAGCTTCTTGTAGTGTGGATAATACAGTAGTTATATGGAATGCACTGAAGTTTCCAGGTAAGTGAGAAAGATTCCCCTCCCCTGAAGTTAATACGAGTTTCTAAGGGGCATTCAGACAGTAGATTGGTGTTGTCCTCCATGCAGAGTCACTGGCAAATGCGTGTGCCTCTACCTCAGAGCTGCATGCGTACAGCCCACATAATTGGATGCATACGCAGTGCCAACAGACATAATCACACATGACAGTTTGACATGCTGGCGGGAGCCGGTGCACTGATCCAAACACAGAAGCTTTGTCTGCACACAGCTCCAAGATGGATGTACACGCATCTGCCAGCAGATCTGCATGGAGTACGACCCTAATCTGCTGTCTGAATGAGCTGTAAAGGATAATGATGCAATGATACTTGTACATTCACTGAAGCTTCTTAAATGGATAATTTTTTTCTTTTTGTAATCTAGAAATTATTGCCACATTGAGGGGCCACTCAGGACTGGTGAAGGGACTTACTTGGGATCCTGTAGGAAAGTACATTGCTTCTCAAGCAGATGACCACAGCCTGAAGGTCTGGCGAACCATGGACTGGCAGCTCGAAACCAGTATCACCAAACCATTCGATGAGGTACAAGTCATTTAGTGGGACTAGCATGCATGACCTTAATGGCTGGACAAACAATTACAACGCTGTTTTAATTGCAAGAATTTTTTACCCTTTCTTTTACCCATGGAGTATAAGAAAATGACTGATTTTTATTAGGTTATTTGACTATTATATACTACTGTAACAGCTGTGGTTGAACCCAGCATGTAACTAACTCTTGGCACTCCAAACCTTTCTCATAGTGTGGAGGAACCACCCACGTCTTGCGTCTTAGTTGGTCCCCTGATGGACATTACCTGGTGTCAGCTCATGCAATGAACAACTCTGGGCCAACAGCCCAGATTATTGAGCGTGATGGTTGGAAAACCAACATGGACTTTGTGGGACATCGAAAAGCAGTCACCGTTGTGGTAAGATCAACTGCACTTTTATATTACATGGAGAACATTGTTTTTAGGTTTTTTTTTTTTTTTGTTTTGTTTTTTTTCTACCTGCTACACTAACTTTTTTTTATTGATGGGCAATTACAATTTCTGGCATATATATTCTGTTGCTTACTGGCGAATTACTTTTGGATGAATAGGTCAATATATTGTTGGTTTCCTGTATGAAAAGGTTATAGAAGAAGTATAGCTGTTGCCCAAAGCAGCTTGTAACAGTCCTGTCATTTTATAGTTCAGGTTTCACAATGAAGATAATTGGCTATGCAGAATTTTGAGAGTTCATCTGCAGTGGCTTTTTTTTTCTCCTTGTGATCTGCTTAACAATCTTGTCAGTTTGGCTTGATAAGAAAACATTGTTAACATTATTCTTTCTAGAAATTTAATCCAAAAATCTTCAAAAAGAAGCAAAAGAATGGGAGCTCCAATAAGGCTAGTTGTCCGTACTGCTGCTGTGCAGTGGGTAGCAAGGATCGTTCACTTTCTGTGTGGGTGAGTAAAATCTTAATCTTAAAGCTTCATATTTATTCTTTCCATGTTCCATCCTCCTCAAACTGCTTTTAATTTGTCTGCTTTAGCTAACCCTCATTGACCATCATGCAGCTAGTTTAACGCGGATCTTCATTCAAAAGTGTGATGTTACCCTGATTTACCCCTCCCCCCCTCACACTCACACACACCTTTATTGTTGAACATAAATTGTTTTTTTTTTTTTTTTTAAACTGGTGTCATATGTTTGTGTTGCAAAGATGTGTGTGATGTTTATTTCCACCATGCCCCCCTGCATGTGCCCAGATGTGCTACAGGGCTTCGGGTCCTGATCAAGTCCTGTAGCACATCTGCGCACTCGTGGGCTTCCCCAAATATCTGCCCATACGTGTGGTTTTCCGTACATGTGCAAAGACAGCTATTAAGGGATTCCCAAAACTTCTCTTTGCAAATGTGCAGGAAAACACATGCGTGTGCGCAGATGTGCCGAAGGGTTTTGCCAGGACCCAAAGTGATGGCGCTGGAGGGGGGTGTTCGCCCAAGCTACTTTTGTGTGCAATGTGGAAAAGCATAAATTATTCCTGCTCAATGTGTGAATAATATGGAATAGATAGAATGGTAAACCTTGTAATTATTCTTCCCTCAGGTTGATTCCATAATGTAGATTAGGCAGGGGTAGGTTATACCAAGGAGCTGCATGTGACTCTGTTCCCTTTTGATGTTGCCTAAACGCAAACCAAAAATGTATTGTATTGCAGCTTACCAATCATTAGATGTGGTGGCTGCATGAACTTCTGAAAAACAGCACAGTTGCTGGCTGAATCGCCAGATGAAAATAGAAGAAAGCTAAAAAAAGGAAACTAATACAGCCATCGCGTCTAGGATTTGGTAAGCTGCAATATAATAAAGCCATATTAAACCCAAAAGCAAACATATTAAACCCAAAAGCAAGCATTACACTAGGCAAGAAAATATTAATTCCTTGCCTTTTTCAGGATTTCAATTTGTTTTCCCCCAAAATTTTCTCCCAGTTCTTCAGTCAGGATTATATATTTGTAACATACCAGTTTTTCATTATGACATGAAACAGGACTTTGTTAGTAGTAATAGAGGATATTTTTTTTCCTGTAGCTTACCTGCCTTAAAAGACCGTTGGTGGTAATCCATGATCTGTTTGACAAATCTATAATGGACATCTCATGGTAATTGTTTTCTTTTGTTTGGCATACGTTTTATTATTTTTTTTTAACCTAATTTTGCTCTGGATACGTTGTACTGCACCCTTTTTAAGAGGGTTCATCTTAAAGTGGAGTTCCAGCCATTTTAGTGTCTATTAAAAGTCAGCAGCTACAAAAACTGTAGCTGCTGACTTTTAATAAACACACACTTACCTGTCTCAGGGTCCAGCAATGTTCTCACCTGCGCAGTCCCTTCTCTCCTCCTCTTCGCCACGGCGCTGGCATCTCAACTGTGGGCACCAGGCTGTGACAACTTGTGTCAGTGGAAGGAATAGTACGTCATTGGTGTCAGTGGGGGGGGGAATATTGCCCCATCATTGGTGTCAGTGGGGGGGATAGTGTCCCAACATTGGTGTCAGTGGGAGGAATAGTACCCCATCATTGGTGACAGTGGGGAAGGAATAGTGCCCCATCGTTGGTATCAGTGGGAAGAATAATGCCCCATCATTCGTATCAGTGACACCAATGATGGGGTACTATTCCTCCAACTGACACCAGTGACACTTAACTTGCTGACCCCTGCTCCAGCATGGTGCTGCTGCAGCCAGCATACCTGGCTAAAAATAGAAAATGATGCCTGAAATGCATACTTGAAAACAGAGGAAAGAGGTGAGAGGCCTACTTTTAAGAGGAACGTCTTAAACTTTAAAGTGTGTATATATACCCAAAAACTTAGTCTTTCTTTAAGGTTAATAAAAAAAGGTTGTCTCCAGGACAGGAAGTGAGGGAAATAAAAAATCAGAATGTTGGAAGCTCTGTCCGCTTTTTTTTTTTTTTTTTCCCATATTGCAAATTCTTCATCTCTTCCTGTCTGGTAAAAGGTTTGCACAGAATAGAAAGTATGGGGACATGTCCTGAAGGAGACCTGGATAGCGGTAAAGCCTGACAGGAGAAAAAAAATTTGGGAATAGGTGTACTAATTGTGGGTAAATGTACATTAAGTGTGTTTTTCAGTATAGGGGAGATTATCTGTGAACATAGGGGCAGTCTTTTCAATCCTCTTCTCTAACTGCTGATTTGAAACCTGTGCAGTAATGATTGGTAGTCAAACAATGAGACCTACCCTGAGAGCCGATGAACAGTAGTTTATTTTTGGCAAGAACATTTTTTTTTTTTTTTTTTTTTGAGTTGCCGTGTATTCAATCAAAATCTTTGAGTGACTGTACACACACACACTTTTTTTCTTTCCTGGTTTATATTGTGTGGTATCCACATGCCCTGTATGAGTGTTGTGATGCTTGTATTTATCATACTGTAACATGGCTAAAATATTTGTTCTTCCAGTCACTGCTGCCCCAAGGGTTTAATTCATGAATTAAACTCTGGACAAGTGACAAATGCTTTTATCCTTCCACCCCACTATGTTCTGCTTTCCAGCCACTTCATTATTTTAGCATTTCATAACAGTTTATCCCCTGGGTTATTTACAGGACGTTAAATGGGCTGGGAATACTAGTGTGTTCAATGGATGGATCAGTCGCTTACTTGGATTTTTCACAAGATGAACTGGGTGATCCACTGAGTGAAGAGGAGAAGGTAATAAAAATTCCATATTCTTGTATGCATTTTTTATTTTTTTCAATATAATATACTTCTTTCATTTATGGAAAGATTCTTCTGCTCACGACTGTTACCTCTTCTTTGTATATTTGTATCACTTGTCATAGTTTTTTTTTTTTTTTTTTTTTTTTAAATTTATATCATTCAATCCTTTACTAATTCTGATTCAGAACAACATCCACCAAAGCACTTACGGAAAAAGTCTTGCCATCACAACGGGGTCGCAGATTTCTAACACCATCATAGAGAATCCTGAAATGCTGAAGTTTCAACAGAGGCAGCAAGCACAGCAGGATGGAGAACATGGTGCAGCTGTACACAGGGAGACCCAGGCGCCTAAAGTAGCCAGCATGGTAAATGGAGAGAGCCTAGAAGACATCAGGAAGGTACAGTATTGTAATGAAACAGCAACACGTCTGCAATTTTATACGAATTTATCCATTTGAACTTGTACAATATTAATATTTATAGTTCACTAATGCTGTACCAGCTTTAAAGGGAAGCTCCAGTTTTGTTCTGAAGTATTTTTTTCTGTTCAAATTTTTTTACAGGTTCATACCTGCTTTTATCATGTAGGTAATATTGATAGGTTAGGGCACTATAGTTGCTGATTTCCTTTTTTTTTTCTTTTTTTTTTCCTCTTCACATTTTTAAAGGCAGTATCTGGTGCTTTTGTCTCCAGTATTCTGGCCTCTCCAGTCCCCACCTTCGCCCCTGTGCTCCCCTACATCTTAATGTTTTTTTACTTTACTTTTTTTCCACTGCCTGTCCTGCAGTTTAAGGGCAATCTAGGAACCTTTTGGCCCTGCTGGAGGGGGCAGAGAAAGAAACACTCTGCCTCTATGCCAGAAGTTGTGCAGCATGGGCTTGGTACCTCACAGAAGGGGCAAAGACTACTGGTACCCACTATGTTGGAAGCTTCCACATTTGACAAGATAGGCACTTGTGTTTTTACAGCTGGCTCTAAACGGCAAGTATTCTTACACACTGCGGTTTTATTGGGGAGGTGGACCACTGGTAAACATAGGCAGGAGTTATTGGGAAACAGTCTCTCCTTTTTTTTTTTGTGGGTATCAGCATGGATGTCTAATTGAAATAGCTCCTGCTCCTCCGAGCTTGCTACTGTATTTTCAATAGACCATGTTTATACTGTTGGCAGGCCATGTCTTTGGGATGTCTGAGGGAGAAAACAGGGAAGAAAGGGTTCCCAAAATCCTTTTATCAAGTAGGGAGGAACCTGGTGGTTGTTTCCTTGCATTATATCCCCTGGGATCCGGTTAGTTTCTAAATCACTTTTTACTACCGTTGGGGCACCTTCCCTCCAGTTCCTTTGTGTCATGGGAAGAATTCTGTCTCTGCTGGGTTACAGCACCACAGTCCTTGCCAGTTTAGACCATTTTGGTTGCAAGGATAAATGCTTTCCCACTCCTCCTCCTCTTCGGATGAGGACCCTACCAAGGATTAACAAGAGGAAGAGGTGGAAGGGGAAGTGATTTTTCTGAAAGGAGAGGATGTGGAAAATTCCTCTTCTGAGGAATCCCAGGGTCCGGGGTTATCTTAGACCCAAAAGGCCTCGTGGAAGTGATCTGGACTAACTTAGCTACTGCTTCCTGAGGGTCCCATAGGCTACAATATTAGAATTATGGTGCCCGGCACAGTATCTCCAATCTTTCCCTTACAATTATGGTCCTGGGTTCACATATCTCCAAAAAAGCTGGGTTACTCTCTGTACATAAGGTTACTCCTTAAAAAGATGGGTTAAACGTGGACTGGGTTCACCCTGATAAGGTGTTCCTTATTCCACAAAAAAGCTGGGTATACTCTTTTTTTTTTTTTTTTTTTTTTTTTTTTTTTTTTTTTCTCCATTTAACCAGTGTGTTGAACTGAAAAAAAAACTGACAAATAGCTGCCTCAACACAAGCAATGTTGCAGTGATCTGACAGGGTTTCCCCTCTATTGCTAGCAAAAACTTATCAGCGCTCTGAGCCATTGGCAGCAATCACTGATTAGATGCTAGTTTTTTCAGCATTTCACTTTGACAAAAGCTGGTCATTAGTCCGGCTTCTGTCGGACAGACAGTTGTATACACTGACCAAAAGTTGGTTGGTTTAGCCGTGTGTACCCAGCTAAAGAACTTGCTCAACAGAACCCATGGAAAGTGAGTTCACTAAGAAATGGAGTATGCCAATGGTGGATCTGAATGTTTACTTTATCAGGAGATCCTCTTATTTCTAGTGGACGAGGTCCTGGTGTTTAAAGATTCTTTGGACAAACTTCTTGAGCCCTTATTTGAAGTCTCTCTTGCTCTTGTAAGGGCAGCCTTACAACCGGTGATTGCAGCTGTAAAAATGTCAAAGCTTCAAGGTTTGGACTCACCCAGTGTAGGGAAATAGAGACCCTGATCACTGAGCTAGTTGATTCGGGCAGATACCAGGAGGATTAGCCTTGTTCTCTTAGTTTCTAGGTCGATGCTCCGTCAAGGGGGGCGCGTACAGGGGTGGGCAGAGGGCTGCTGTCTCTTACCTGGCTCCCACGATGATCCATCCAAGAAGCGCTGCTCCTTCCGTCACTCCGGCCACTCCCTCACTCCTGCCGCTCGGCTCCGCCTCCTCACCGGTGATTGGCCGCCAGAACTGTAGCTCAGGAAAGGTACACAGGCGGCCAATCACGGACGAGGAGGCGGAGCCGAGCGGACCCGTGAAAATCGAGTGAGGGAAAAGCCGGTAAGTGTGCAGTGCAGAGGTGCTGCTGCAACCACATATGCTGGCTGCAGCAGCACCATACTGCAACAGGGGTTAGCAAGTGTCATTGGTGTCAGTGGGAGGAATAGTGCCGCATCATTGGTGTCACTGATACTAATGATGGGGCATTATTCCTCCCACTGACACCAACGATGGGGCACTATTCCTCCCACTGACACCAATGATGGGGCACTATTCCTCCCACTGATACTAATGATGGGGCATTATTCCTCCCACTGACACCAATGATGGGGCACTATTCCTCCCACTGACACCAATGATGGGGCACTATTCCTCCCACTGACACCAATGATGGGGCACTATTCCTCCCACTGATACCAATGATGGGGCACTATTCATTCCTCCCACTAACACCAATGATGGGGCACTATTCCTCCCACTGATACCAATGATGGGGCACTATTCCTCCCACTGACACCAATGATGGGGCACTATTCCTTCCACTGATACTAATGATGGGGCACTATTCCTCCCACTGACACCAATGATGGGGCACTATTCCTTCCACTGATACTAATGATGGGGGCACTATTCCTCCCACTGACACCAATGATGGGGCACTATTCCTCCCACTGATACTAATGATGGGGCATTATTCCTCCCACTGACACCAATGATGGGGCACTATTCCTCCCACTGACACCAATGATGGGGCACTATTCCTTCCACTGATACTAATGATGGGGCACTATTCCTCCCACTGACACCAATGATGGGGCACTATTCCTCCCACTGATACCAATGATGGGGCACTATTCCTCCTACTGATACCAATGATGGGGCACTATTCCTCCCACTGATACCAATGATGGGGCACTATTCCTTCCACTGACACCAATGATGGGGCACTATTCCTTCCACTGATACTAATGATGGGGCACTATTCCTCCCACTGACACCAATGATGGGGCACTATTCCTTCCACTGATACTAATGATGGGGCACTATTCCTCCCACTGACACCAATGATGGGGCACTATTCCTACTTATAACAATTGATACTATTTACAGTCGCGCGGGGGGCGCAAAATTTTTCTTCTTCCTAGGGGGGGCATGGCAGAAAATAATTGAGAAGCACTGACTCAGGGGAATGTTTGTAGGCCTTCACAGATGTTTGACAGGGGGACTTTGTGGATGACTGGGTCTGCAACTTAGTGGCTAAATCATGCAAGCTAGAATTTCAGAGCCTTCACTCTCCGTGCTTCATGCTTTTAAATGTTTTTCAGTTTGTAAAAAGGAATGTTCTTTTTCAAGCTCTCGATTATCACCTATCTCAAGGAGTGATCATTCCAGAGTTTCTACATGAACCTCCTAACTGAAACTGAAATTGAACGACCATGTTCATTGCATCCTGTATCTTAAGAGACTCAACAAGTTTCTCCAAGTACAGAAGTATATAATCAAGCCGTCAGTTGTTGCCTCCCTCCAAGAAGGAGATTTTCTGGCATCTGTGGATATCAAGGATGCTTATTTGCACATCCCAATTTTCCTACCTCACCAAAAGTACCTACAGTTTGCGGCGGATAACCACCATTTTCAGTTTGTGGTCCTGCCATTTGGCCTGTCCACAGCTCCCAGAGTATTCACCAAGGTGCTAGCCTAAGTCCCAGACTCTTTTATCTAATCAGGGTATTCCTGTCATAGGTTACCCTGATAACTTGCTACTGAGGGAGCAGTCTGCTCCACTTCTGCTTTTAAATGTGAATGAGACTCTGGAGAGATTTGGATGGGCCCTGAATTTTCAGAAGTCAGCCTTTAGTCCCAACCCAAAGGTTGGAAAATTATGGCCTGCTGCTGGACACAATCCAATCCAGATTGATCAACCCCAAGACAAATGCCTTGCTGGAGTGCTTGCTTCAAACCTGATAAATCTCTTGATTTTAGCTTTGCATGACGGTTTTGGGAAAGATGGTAGCCTTCTTTTTGAGGCAGTTTCCTTTGCCCATTTTCATTCCAGGCCCCTCCAACTGAATGTCCTATCGACAGGGACAGAAGGATTAGTTGTTTGGGCTTACCTGATACAGTTAAACCCCAGAATAAGACTGCCTCTGGATTGGTGGATCTCTTTGCGAATGCTGAAGATGGGAAAAATCATTCCTCACTCTGTCTTGGAGGGACCTGACGACAGACACCAGTCTGTTAGGTTGAGGTACAGTTCTGGACATCTATTGGTCACTGCAGGAGAGGTCATTGTCCATAAACCTCCTGGAATTAAAGGCGATTCGTCATGCTTTACTGTACCAGTTGGTGCAGCTACAGGGCCTCCCTGTAGGAGTTCAGTTGGACAACGCCACAGTGATGGGTTACATAGATTATCAGGGAGGCACCAGAAGTTAGGCTGCTCAGGAGGAAAAATCATTACGTCATGGGTGCAGCTTTTACCTCGTTTGCTTCACATTCAGTGTGTAAGGCATTCTGGTGATCCTGATAGCCCCGGCCTAACCCAGGAGGATGTGGTACTCCGATATTGTACATTTATCTGTGGGAGAACCATGGACTCTACCTGATTAACCCAGCCTCTTTTTGCTGGGTCCTATCTGCCATCCTTCTTTACAGCCACTGGCTTTAATAGCATGGCTGTAAAAAAATCTAGGATCTTGAGAGGCAGAGGTGTATCGGATTTGTACATTTTTACCCTGCTGAAAGTTAGGAAGGTGATTTCAAGGAAGAGTTACCACAGAACTTGGGAGTATTTTTTTGTCTAGTGTGAGGCTGGAGGGGATTTCATCCTCATGTGTATGGCATGGACAGCATCCTGGCATTTCTCCACATTGTTCCACTGGTTAAGACTCTGTGAGACCTCAACTTTTTGGACTACAGAAATCTCAGTTTGAATCTTTCCAGTACTTAATCTTTGGCTCGCAGAGTTTCAGAATTGGCAGCTCTTGCCTGTAAGAAACCGTTCCTGGTGATCCATCAGGACAAGGTTGGTCTTGCAGCCTCAGCTGACCTTTTTACCTAAGGTGGTTTATATGTTCCATCTTAACCAGGGCGTTGTTACCTTCTTTCTATCCTAAGCCTCAGATGCCACAGGACAAAGCTCTTCATAACTTGAATGTGTTTTGAACAGTCAAAATTTATCTGAAGGCAGCTACTGTCAGTCTGATTCACTCTTTGTGCTTCTGGAAGGCCAAGGAAGGGTCATGCATCTCCCAAATCTTCAATTTCTCAATGGATTTGTCAACTCATTTCTCACGTTCATGGTCTAAAGGGCAAAGTCACTGTATTTTTTGGTGACAACCCATTCTACCAGGTGCTTCCTGGGCTATTCAGCATCAGGCTTTGTTAGCTCATGTTTTGTAAGGCTTTTACCTGGTCTGCTTTTCATACTTTTATGACATTTTACTAATTGGGTGTAGTTTTAGTTGAGCACAGTTTTAGTATCTTCCAAGCCCTAGCTATGATTTGTTTAGCTGCTGTAAGCACTCACAGCAAAAATTTATGTTGTACATTTAGGATGTCTTGGGGCTGCTTGTTTAAAAGCATTACGGCATTAGCAGCATAGTTGGGATGGCCAAGGAGGTGAGTTAGGATGTGAAACTTTTTGGTCCTGAAGGGCTGAACTACCAGACAGGACCATTATGTGTAGACAGAAAAGGTATTTTTTAAAAGAAATGGCAATTCTGCGGGATAGCTAGTAGTAGCTGGTTGCCTTCAACTGGGTTGGTTCCGTAATGTTTAAAGTGTTACTAAACCCAGGACCTTGCATTCACTATATCTTGTCTAAAAAAGTAAACGGAAAATGGAAATGCAATTCTCTTCATAAAAATATAAACTGCTAAATACCTTTTTCTCATCAGCAGTATATAGCAGTTTTGTGACTTCTATTAATGTCCAGCTAAGCACTGGGTAATCTTTTAGGATGAGTTTTCATTCTGTTCAGACTGTCCTATGAGGCTGCATGACCCCTGACCCTTTTGAATGGACAGTGCTGATTGGCCCTGTGCTGACCACATCCACCCTCCCAAAGAAAAAAACAACTCTCTAGCCATACACACTAAACTGAGCATGTGCAGAGTGACTCCTAGAGCTCTGTACTATCAGCAGATGAATTGGGGAGAGTAAAAGAATTGGAGGCACAGAGATGACAGAACAGCCTTTTTACACAATGCGGAGAATTAACCCCTTAGGATTCATAATGAGTATAACAAGCATGCTTTACTGCATATGCAGACTGATTTTACGGTTGTGGATTTAGTAACTTTAAGAGTTTCCTTTTTGTCATTCAAGCCAATTCTTCAGTTCCACTTTGTGTCGAGAAGATACCCCAGCACTTCTATCCACATGGGTAGCACAGACACTTTATTCTAATCACCATGGACTGTGTAGGTATAACATAATTGGATATAGATATTAAATGCTGGGGTACCTTCCTGGAACTGAAGTGACTTGAAAGTAGCTGTGAAATGTCTTTAACATTAGAAATCAAATCCAGTTGAATGCGACTATTAGCTTTGCCATGACCTGGATAAATGAGAATCTTTGCAGACATATTGGCAATTGTTTGAAACACAGTGCTTTAGTAAAGTAAATGTTTTCCAGTTAGGATTTGCTGTATTAGCTACATTTTTGTGCATGTTTTAGAATCTTTTAAAGAAACAAGTGGAAACGCGAACAGCAGATGGTCGTCGTAGAATTACCCCATTGTGTATTGCCCAGCTGGATACTGGGTAAGTACAATTTGCTGATGCAGTAAATGTTATCTACATGCTGATTGTGAGGCTTACTTTATGTACTTATTAATGTTTGTTTTTTTTTGTTCTTTTTCCAGAGACTTTTCTACCGCATTTTTCAATAGTATCCCAATATCGGGGTCACTGGCAGGCTCCATGCTCTCCTCACAGAGCAACCAGCAGCTCATATCTGTGGATTCCAACACAACTAGTTCACAGGGCGCCAAGTCCAGCTTGGAGCCTATGGGAAATGCAAAATCTACAGAAGAAATTCCAAACAAAGAGAGGTGTGATTGATAATAAACTTTTCATGCATTTTAGTGTTTTAGACGTTTCATTGATGTGTGTATACAGTATGTTTCATTATATGTTTCATTTAAAATTCACATTTTAAAGAGGTGAAAGGTAATGTGCCTTAAATACAACACACCTAAAAATCAGCATACAGATGTGAAATGATCCTAACTCTCCCATTGCTTAATTTCTCTGCGCAGGCATCCCCATTTTGTTTCATTGTTGTCTTTTCTTGGGCCATTAACATTGTTCATGTGTTGCCCTCCCCTCAGTTGGATTGCTTTAAGACGTCCCAGTGTTCCTTAATTCTGCTGATCCTGTATCCATTGATGAACGATTAGGGAAACAAACTGTTTTTTTTTTTTTTTTTTTGTTTTCTCTCCCCATAAAATGCTTTACTTTGAACTCATTGAGAGACACAGGTTACAGCCCTCTGAATATGTGATCTACTTCTAATACTGCTTTTGCAACAAAACCTAAAGCATCATGGGAGTGGGAAGGTTTATACGTGGCTTTTTTTTTTTTTTTTTTTTTTTTGTCATTAATTCCTCCTGAAGGCAGCAGTATAACCTGCTGTTTGTGAATTCTGCTGATTCTTTGTCCCCTGATGACCACCAAGTAAATTATTTTACACGTATAAAAATTCCTGTTTTTCAAGGGCTTGCAATGCATGATGCATCCAATAGTAAAGTGCAGTATTGCCCTTAAAGAACCCTAATTGATACAAAGCATAATATGCCTCTTTCTGTGTTGTTGAAGAGTGTTAGTAATTCCATTTTTTCATTTCTTGTAGTGGAAATGCTACCGCTGCTACTCCTACGGCCCTCGCAGGTGTCTCGACTCAGCCTAAGATTGAACCCATGAAAGCACTAGACTCGCGATTTACAGAGCGGTCGAAAGCCACGTCAGGCACAACAGGGGTTTCTCACACGAACCAGAATGCTGCAGACAAGTATGTACAGCAACTTTGTAATTGACACTTTATTTTCTAAAGGTGGCCAAAGACATCAGGGAATGCATGTCTGGACATGGTCAATTCAAAAAACTTATGATGTTATCTGGACAAGCTTCTACCTGGAAGCTGAAAACTGGGCACATGCAGAAATGTACAGGGATGCGTAAATCATATCACCTGATGTGTGGGCAGGTGGATTTACTTACATTCAGCCCTGCTGCGGGCAAGCGGCTTCACACGTGTGCAGAAATGGCAATGCCTCTTTGTGAATGCCATTCCTGTGCTGCTTCAGTACAGGTGCAATATCTCTTTATCTCTCCCCCTCCCCCTCCTCCCCCCTCTCCCCCCTCCCCCCTCCCTCTCTCCCCCCCCCCCCCCCCCCTCCCCCCTCCCTCTCTCTCTCCCCCCCCTCCCTCTCCCCCCCCCCCCCTCCCCCCCCTCCCCCCCCCCCCCCCCCCCCCCCCCTCCCCCCCCCCTCCCCCCCTCTCCCTCCCCCCCTCTCTCCCCCTCTCCCCTCCCTCTCCCCCCCCCTCTCCCCCCCTCTCCCCCCCTCTCTCTCCCTCCCCCCTCTCCTCCCCCCCCCTCTCCCCTCCCCCCCCCTCTCTCTCCTCCCCCTCTCCCCTCTCTCCTCCCCTCTCCCCTCTCTCTCTCCCCCTCCCTCCCCCCTCTCTCCTCCCCCCCTCCCTCTCCCCTCCCTCCCCCCTCTAACTACCCTCTCCCCCTCTCTCCCCCCCCCCTCTCCCCTCTCCCCTCCCCCCTCTCACCCTCTCTCCTCCCCCCCCTCTCCCCTCTCCTCCTCCTCTCCTCTCTCCCCTCTCTCCTTCCTTCCTCTCTCCCCTCTCTCCTCCTTCTCTCTCCCCCTCTCTCTCTCCTCCTTCTCTCTCTCCCCTCTCTCCTCTCCTCTCCCCTCTCTCTCCTCTCCTCCTCCCTCTCCCCTCTCTCTCCTCTCTCCTCCCCCCTCTCTCCCCTCTCTCTCCTCCCCCTCTCCTCCCCCCTCTCTTCCCCCTCTCCCCTCTCTCCTCCTCCCCCCTCTCTCCCCCCTCTCTCCCCTCCCCCCTTTCCCCCCTCTCTTCTCCCTCCCCCCTCTCTCCCCCTCTCTCTCCTCTCCCCTCCCCCCCCTCTCTCCCTCTCTCCCCTCTCTCTCCTCCCCCCTCTCTCCCCTCTCTCTCCTCCCCCCCTCTCCCCCTCTCTCTCCCCCCTCTCTCCCCTCTCTCTCCTCCCCCCTCTCTCCCCTCTCTCTCTCTCCCCCCCCTCTCCCCTCTCTCTCTCCCCTCTCTCCCCTCTCTCTCTCTCCTCCCCCCTCTCCCCCCTCTCCCCTCTCTCTCTCCCCCCCCCCTCGTATATTTATATAGATTCATTACACACAGTGATATATTTCAAGCATTTCTTTCTTTACATTTTGATGATTATGGCTTACAGCTAGTGAAACCCCAAAATTCAGTATCTCAGAAAATTAGAATATATATAATAGCTGATAAGAGCGTGACACCATGAGTCTATAATATTGACCTTTTGCACAATATTCTATTTTTCTGAGATACTGAATTTTGGGTTTTCACTAGCTGTAAGCCACGATAGTCAAAATTGAAAGAAGGAAATACGTGAAATAAATCACTCTGTGTATAATGAATCTATATAATGAGTTTCACTTTTTGAATTGAATTACTTAAATTAACTTTTTGATGATATTCTAATTTATTGAGATGCACCTGTATAGCTGGATCCAATGTTTGTAGACACCTTTTGGTTTAAATAACATCTATCAGTTCCCAGTATACCTTCTATATTATTATTTACACAGACTGAAAGATCAGAATGCTACTAAAGAAGCAAAGCAGCGTGACCCTGTGGACAGCAGTAGCGACAGCGAAGGAAAGATTGTAACAAAATCTCTTTCCAAGCGAAAGGTCGAAATGGATGCAGACCTTGGTGAAAAGAGAAAGAAGGGACGACCTCGGAAAGACTCTCGGCTTATATCCGTTTTTCTCTTGCTGTGCAGGTAACAAATATATATAATTTAAAAAAAAAATTTTTTTTAGCATGTGCAACAAAATTCACAACCCCAAAACTGCACTGTATTTGATTATTTTGGTATAGTTCAATGGCCACATTCTCTTGTTACCCTTATGATGCAGCAAAACCCCACTCCAGATGAATTTTGTTTTGGACAAACCTTTGTTAAATTTATTGCTACATTTGTCTTGATTTGGGAGTTTATTCTCCCTTGTCTGTCTATTTGATAAGTGCCAGACAACAGAAAGTGAAAGAAAATCTCCCCAATGGGAGCACAGTATTAAAACAACTTTGCTAGGGTAGAGCTTCACTTGGGTGTTTGTTGAAGTTTGTGACCGCATTGGAGATATTTCTCTTAATTTCCCTTTTCAAGTCATGGGTGTCCTAACAATAAAGGGAAGATTCAAAAGGGACTAAGACAATCCTCAAAACCAGTTCCTACATTATTCCAAAAAAAAAAAAAAAAATTGGCTGGAGTTGGACACAAGGCACAGCTTTCAGCTGCTTTGGTGCTTACACTTTGGCAGTGAACCAACAGCCTTTTTGTTTTTTTTTCTCTTTGTATGGGCACATCATATGAGCATTGTTTAGTCTTTGCTTGTAAATGCTGTTATGAATGGCATGAAATTCTGCAAGCAGTTGCAAGCGTTGCACATCCTTTTCGAATCTTTAAAGCACTGTTTCTGAACTTTTTTTCAGTCAAGGCATCCTTTACGATTATGCACAATCTTGAGGCACCACGGGCTAAAATTTAAAGAACTACACTAACCGTTTTATGTAAACCCAGCAACAGCCACACATGTAGCACATCTAAAGTTAGGCTTGTGCAGTTTTTTTTTTTTGTTTTTTATTATTATTGCAACCAGCAGGTTATATAAAAAAAAAAAAGACGGATCCCTGATGTTGATGGGATCTCTCCTGCTGTGATATTGTATTCTTACATTGGGAAGTCCATTACCCCCTCCCTGCCAGAATACACAGATCAGCTGCCATTAGCTGAAAGCTCTGATCAAATGCTGGTTTTCGAGCAGGACTGTTAGACTAGCTTCTGTTGAACAGACAGTAGTACTCACAAACTGAAATTCAGCTGATTTCTAGTCTGTGGACACACTGCTTCAGAGGTGATTTCTTCTTCCAAAAAAAATACAGTGCTTCACCTCTCCCTCAGTTTCTCTCCCACACTCAAGAGTAATAACTCTAGGGCTATCCTTGATGCTTAATCCTAAACTGATAAGGTTTTCTAAAGCCTATCTGCAATTCTATTTGGTGTATGTTGTCCTTTTTAATTTTTTTTTTTTTCAATTTTGTTGACTGTCTCAATTTTACAAAGAAAAAATTAGAATAAATTGCGTTTGTGTGCACTAAAATTAATTTTAATATATTTTTGGTGCAAATACAGATTAGATAAATATTTGAATCCTAAAAAAAAATGGAAACTACAATTTTTTTTCTTTCTTCTGTGGGTTCCTTACAGATAAAAAAAAAAAAAAATTAGGCTACAACTGTACATTTTAGTGTGTGTGAAAAATTAGTCCAGTGGCAAAAGGGTTAAACAGCTAATGCTGTTTGGACTGGTAATTTCTAAGAACACTGAACAATACTTTTTGTGATAAGAGGATGTAGGGTACATTTTCCTGAGCGACTTGAGTGGATATGGTTTTTCCTCTTGCATCCATAGGATTTACAGTATATGCTGTTTTGCTTCTCTGTTAAGTTTTTCCACAGGTTTTGTATGCATCCATGGCCCCCTGAACAAGCTAATTGAGCAAATCTGTGCTATTAAATTTAGTTTTGAAAAGATTGCTATCATTTTTCAAACATTATCTTTTTGATTTTCCAGTAGATTGCTAAAGATTTTTTTTTTTTAACATTTAATTTTGGTTTCTGCAGCCTTCTAGTAATTGGAATAATGTACAGTTATGTTTGTATTTTGCTTATTTAGTCTCAAGTGGCAACAACTTCTGAGAAGGAGTTAACATGTGTAACTACGCCAGCATTAACACTCAGGCTGCCAACTCCAGCCTCCCTGAAATCCTTTACTGTACAGGTAAGTCACTATGTATAGCTCCTTTTGAACCATTAATAAAGCACCAGCTTTTTTGCATAATTTACAAGGCCCTAATCCAGAGTTCTTTTAAAAGGATATTTTGCTTTAATACATAGGTTTATATAACCCTCTCAAGAAACTAAATTGTATAAAAATGATGGGGCTCCCTGGAGCTCTTTCCATACTGTGCAAGTATGCTAAGCAAACTGACACCCTTAACTTGTAAAGTATTCTCCTCCCAGGAATGCCCTCTCTGTCAACTGCACTTCCATTTTTTTTTTTTCTTGGTCTCCATGCAGGTTTTGAGTGTTTCTCCACCGTAATTGACTGGACCCAGATGTCATAACTCCGGTGCATAGGAGTTACTTTGTCCTGGTATAAAATCATGCCATGATTGTGCATGGAACTGTGTATGCACAGCTCAATGTACAGTTGGAAAATAAATGCTATCAGGGTGAAGTGATTATGTTGTATATAGACTGTCATCATTTCCTGGAAAATGCACTTAAAGTGATTATAAAGGCTCCAGTTTTTTAGTTTTATTTATTTTTTCAAAACAACAAACATGTCATACTTACCTGCTCTATGCAGTGGTTTCCTACAGAGCAGCCCCAATCCTCCTCTTCTGGGGACCACTACTGGCACGGTCCCACCCAACCCCCCCCCCCCCCGAGTGCCCCCCATAGCAAGCCTCTTGCTATGGGAACAGTGCATGCTCGCTCCGTGTGTGTGTCCATAAAAACACACACAGCTTGGCTTGTCCCCCCCACCCCCACATCCCCTCCTTACTGGCTGTGATTGACAGCAACAGGAGTCAATGGCTCCCACTGCTGCCTATGAGCCAGTGAGGAGGGAGTGAGCCACTGATCAATCTGCTGTGTGTTTGTTTGGAAAGGGAGTTGTCAGCTGACCATGTTTCTGTCATTCACCCATCTTATTCTGAGAAGAAGTCTGTTTCAGGGATGTTTCTGTTGTGGTTGATCATGGCATATATGTTTAAGTAAAGAAGTATTGCTTGCCACCATCTCATACCTATGGTTGCTTTAAAACTAAAATGCTGTCAAATGATTAAACAGTTGAAATGCATATTTGGGGACTCTTTTGACACCATAGAATTTTGATTTCTGTTTAGTCAGTGGCATAATCCAAAAAACCCTGCCAGACAATATAGTACAGTCGTGGAGCTCACTGCCGAGTATACTTCAGTTAGGCAATGCAGCCCAGTCCAGGACCTACCTCAGCCAGACACTGAACAGCTAAGGAGCAATAAGACTCTGAGATCATACCTGTGCTCTCCCCTCCTTTAATCATTTTCCCTGTCATTAGGGCCTTGACTGAGAGTGCTTTCTTCCCTTTCCCAGGTACTATTCTGTGTTCTACTGTGCATAGAATTACAGGCAGACAATATCAAATCAGAGTAGGTGCTCATGATAGTTCAATCTAAAAACACATTTAGTGAGTTCAACTTTTAACGGTTGTTTAAAAATATTATGATTACTGATTTGTCAACCAATCCAGTTCTGTTTTAGTCCTGCTTGGGTTTGATTGATCGTTTTTTGTTTTTTTTTTTGTTAAAAGTCTAACTCCAGGGTCACCCATCCTCTAACTTTTCAGATAAGCTCAGATCCCTCAATGTACATTGAAGTAGAAAATGAAGTCCGGGTAGTTGCTGGATCAAAACTTAGCCGGCTCAAATGTAACCGGGAAGGAAAGGAGTGGGAGACTGTAATGGCAAATCGAATCCTTGCAGTAGCTGGCAGCAAGTAAGTTTTGTGGCCTTTTAATATTTGTGTGTATATGTTTGTGAGTGCATATAACCTCTTCAAATCTTTTCAATCATTCTGCAGTGAGGTAGTCTGTGTGGCCTGTGAAAAGCGAATGTTGTCCATGTTTTCTAGTAGTGGAAGAAGAGTATTCCCACCTATCATCATGTCCTCCTCTATTTCCACACTGCAATGTACAGGTTATTATGTCATGGCACTTACAGCTGCTGCTGCTCTTTCTGTCTGGTAGGTACAAAATGTTATACTGGTTTCAGCAGTCTTTGTATCTGGGTAGTGAAAAGCTACACTAGTTAGTACATTTAATGGTATTACCAAAAACAAATTGAATTTAAATTAATTGTAAATTAGAAATGGGGGTATTTGTTAAATCATTTAAATACTGGTTAAGTAGTTCTTTACACTAGTGGCATTAAATACTGAGTCTGAATAGACCTATCTTTCTATCTTTCCAGGGATGTCCAGAATCAGGCAGTTGTTGTAAAGGATGAGTCTTTACAGCCCATTTTAT